CTCCGACAATGGGTGTTGGCTCCAACAATTCGCATTGGTCTCAAACCAATGACATGCATTTCAAAAACCATGAGTTCGAGGTGGATGAGGATGGTGAGGGCATTGTCGATGCACCGAAAGGAAGAGGAGGCAACTATACCAACGCCGAAGAAGTCTTGCTATGCGAAACTTGGTTGGACGTGTCGAGGGATCCATCCGTTGGAGGTGATCAAAGTAGAGATGCTTATTGGCTCCGGATGAAAGAACACTTTGATCTATGCAACGTGAGTGGAATTGACCACTCTGATCGATCTCTTCGCTCCCGATGGTCGACATCAATAAGGATTGTCAACAATGGGCGGCCACACAAAAGGCGGTTGACAAGTTGAACCCAAGTGGCACTAATGATGAAGCTAGGGTAAGTGCCATTTCATCATTCATGTTCATCATGCTTGTTGTTGGTGTTTCTTGTGCTAACTTGTTTTGTTTTCATGTAGTTAAATATTGCACAAAGCTTATTCAAAGGAGAGGAGAAGAGGACCAAGAAGGGGAAGATCAAGAAAGGAAGGCCATTTACCTTGCCTCATTGCTATGAAGTATTGAAGGATGATGAGAAATGGAAGAAGTGTGAGGATATTGATGATTTGGATTTGAGCAAAAAACGCAAGCGAACAATTGATTTGGAAGATGAGGAGGAGGATGCATCAAGTGATGATGACAAGAGAAGCCCCACACCAAACTCGGTTTCATACTCGAAGCCAAAACGACCGGATGGGACCAAGAAAGATGCAAAAGAAAAGAAGAAGAGGAAAGGAGATGATGAGCTCAAAAATGCTATGGAATCAATTGTCAATGCAAGAAAAGAAGCCAACGAGGTGAGGAAGATGGCAAGGAACCAAGATGTCGCGGCCAAGGAGAGGAGGTTGGCGGCCGAGGAGAGGAGGGTGGCGGTCGAGGAGAGGAAGGTGGCATTGGAGGAGAGGAAGGTGGGCATGGAGGAGCGATCTAAATTGTTAGAATGGGAGAAGCACTTTTTCTTCTTGGACACATCTATGTTCAATGATGCGCAAAAGGAGTATGTCAATCTTGCCCGTGAAGAAGTCTTGATCCAAAAAAGAGCCATGATTCACGCAATGAATGGCGGTGGCCTTGGCGGCATGGGTGGCGGTGGCCTTGGTGGCATGGGAGGCATGGAGGCATGGGTGGCTTTCGAGCTAGTATGGGCGGCATGCGTGCCATGGGTGGCTTTGGAGCTACCATGGAGACCATGGGTGGCTTCGGAGCACCTCCGGGCGGCATGGGTGGCATGAGTTTTGCGTCTCTCATTGGAGGCATGGGTACACCTCCGGGCGCTGGTGTGCCACCTTCGCATGAGGATGCCGTTCAAGATCTTGCCAACACCTTCCGAGCTTCACGTGATGAGGATGCGGCGCGCGCCAATGAAAAGGAGGAGGAAGAATCGTCTTCGGAGGAGTCGAATGAATCGGAGGAAGACGAGGATGAATACGAAGATGAGGCTTGATTGTTGTGCCTTTCGTTTGTGTCATGAACTTGGTTTGCATTTTGAACTTGGTTGAATGATGTTGTGGGCATGAATTTAAACTTGTGGGCATGAACTTTTGGTCATGAACTTGTTTGTGATTTAAATTATATGCCATGTCTTTGTTTTGTGAGATGTGTGAAATTTATTTTCCAAAATGCAACAAATGGCATGTGTCGGGTGCTCGTGCGCGCTGCATTTTAGCGCGGCTGCTGGAGCCAGCGCTGCGCGCCATGCTAAACCTGGCGATGGGCGCGCCGCAAACTAGTTTTAGCGCTCCGCGCGTTGGGCGGCGGTTGGAGATGCGCTAAGTATGGGTCTGATTGATCTGGCGCTAAGCATCAGTGACCAGTTTTCTTATTGAAGATAAACTAATGGGTGTGACTAGGCCTGAGATCTCGGAAAAGCTAAAATCCTGCCGGCTGGCAGTTTGCAATAGATCCGCATGAACGCGTTGCCATTCGATTCAAATCCAACGAGGCGCGATTGATTCAGTGGTTTGGTCTGAGCGCAACACTACCGTTACTGTTGCTTCTCGTCGCTGACAAGCGGGCCCGGCAAAAACCGCCCGTATCGCCCAATCACCATGATCTCCACCATCCCCTCTCCTCCTTCGCCCGCACTACTTATCCCCCCTCCCGCGTTGCGGTTTCAATTCTACCATCGTCTCGCTCCCCAATCCCTCATCCGCGGCGGTTTCTGGTGGTGGCGCGGTCCGTTTCGTGGCAGGCGACAGATGAATCGACAGTGAGGAACTCATTCCCCACCTCCATTGTCTTCCTATTGCTCCGATGGTGCATTTCGCCGTCGATTTTTCTACTCGTCCCATCCGAATCCGCTGGGTTTTTTGTTTCCATTAGGTTAGTTTAGGTCACCTTCTAGTTTCAATTCCATGGGCCAGCTCTTATGCGCCTTGAAGAGCAGCTTCCACATTCCCTCGTGCGTGGTGCCGAGGAAATGTTGTAGAGTTCGTGGCTCCTCCGGCTTGAATTCCCACATGAGGGAAGCCCGGAGCTGGCAGGGGAGTATGCGGCGGAAGAGCATAATTTATACCACGCTGGTTAAACCAACGCTTTTTCCCAGCACGTTGGTGATGCGCGTTTGCAGCGCTAGCACCTCTGTCTGGGACCCTCAGTCGAGGCCCTTCTCGTTCCAGGAGGCGAGCCTCATGGGGGGTCCGGATCTGAACTCTGGAATCACCGCCCACTTAGAGCAACGCAGCTAGGTGATATAGAACCATTCCTTTTGCCAGATCTTCACGGTCTCCACAAAGGCCCCCTTGGGTCATGTGGTGTTCGGCAGCTTGCTGATCATAGCTTCGCCGCAGTCCGCGTGCTCCCTGTCGACCACCTTCGGCTTCACGTTAAAGACCTTGAGCCACAGGCCGAAGTGTGGGTGTACGCGGATGAGATACTCACACACGACGATGAACGCCGAGATGTGAAGGAAGGAGTTCGGGGCTAGATCATGGAAATCTAGCCCGTAGTAGTACATGAGCCCACAGACGAATGGGTGGAGTGGAAAACCTAACCCTCTAAGAAAATGAGGAAGGAAGACAACCCGTTCGTCGGGCTCCGGAGTGGGGATGATTTGACCCTTGAGGGGGAGCCTGTGTATGATGTTGGCGGCGAGGTATCCCGCACTCCAGAGATCTTTTATCTCCTTCTCCGTGACCGAGGAAGCCTCCCACTTGCCTTTTGAGCTGGATCCGGGCATCATCAGAGGAGGTGTGGCGGTGGTGAGAAAGACGGAAACTTTGTGGGTGCAGAGAGCTTGGCAGATTGGAAGGCTGAGGAGATGTGAAGGCGTGGGGGAGAAAGTAAAGGTTCCTTGCCCTCGTATAGGCGGTATAAATGCAAACCGGCCCCCACTCATGCCTTGAATCTCGCCTATTCCCAATGAAGGCGTGCGCCGCAGATGGTTGGATTACCCAAATATCATTGATGAGCAATCCCGTATTAAGTGGGCACGATCTCTGTTTTTATGGGACGTGGCAATGGGGCTGGGCCTCGAAACACGGAACGCCGGATGCAAAAAACGGTTCAAAATATCGAAGGGTCAATTCTGACGCTTCACCAAAAAAGTTGTCAGTAAAAGACACTGTTCTTATTTTTTGTATATCCTACCTTCGCGGCTAAGAGTTGTGGTCATTATGAAAAGCCGGATACAATTCTTTTACAGAGGAAAGCCGATGTGTATTCTTTAAGGAACCCGCCTTGCAATGCCGAAGACAATCTGAACGCCGAACATATCATCATTGAAGACTGGTTCAGGGACTACTATGGGAGTCCTGGACTAGGGGGTCCTCGGCGTCCGGCCTATTGGATGTGGGCCGGACTGATGGGCCGTCAAGATACAAGACAGGAGATCACCTCTCGTGTCCGGAAGGGACTCCCGTATGCGTGGATGGCAATTATAGGGGTGTCCGGATATGTTATTCCTTTCTGTAAAACCGACCTTGTACAGCCCTGAGCCCATCTGATGTCTTTATAAACCGGAGGATAGATCGAAGGCAGGATGACAACATTGCTAGGCCAGTCAATCTAGGGTTAGCCAACTCGATCTCATGGTAGATCCACTCTTGTAACCCCTATACCCTCGAATATAATCAAGCAGGAGTAGGGTTTTACCTTCATTAAGAGGGCTCAAACCTGGGTAAATATTGTGTCCTTTGTTCATAGTTACCTTCGGTCCTCAGACATACAGCTTGGCCCCTTACCCCGAGATCCGCCGGTTTTGACACCGGCAGGGGGTGTGCTCGGAGGTGCGGGTCAGACCGGATCTAGTGGCAGTCCCCTGGTGTGGGTGAAGGCCGATGCGGCTGATCTGGGCCTTGCACTGCATGGCTGGTTGCGGTTGCTCTTCGTTCATGTTGTTGCTTTTGGTCTTGGTCGCGTTCTCTCGGCAGTGCAGGTGGGGGAGATCCATTGCTATGCGACTCCTACGACAGATTGTCGACAAGAGGAGCTTTTGGGGGTAGTTGTTCTTCGGACGTGACAGACATCGATCGAGACGCGACAAGGTTTTCGGTTTTTTGGTTGGTTTTGTGTTGTTATTGTGTTGTCGTAGGTGGCAATTTTTGGACTAGCTGGGTGTGGAGTTGTACTATACTCGTTGTTCGCAATAAAGTTATGGTGCGTGCTCTCGAAAAAAAGATAGTTCTTCCCAACGAACGTTTGTCAGATGAATGCGTCATATATCTTTTTCCCATGAATTCATTTTTTTGAGGAATCTTTCCCATGAATTCGTTTTTTTTAAATCTCCCCAAGAATTCGTGTGCGACCGACTCGAACTAGGTATGTATTCGGGTCACGCTTCTGTCACATGAACAATCCGTATCCGTGTCAGCCTTTGTTTTGCAGCCCAATCGATAGTCGGCGGCCTGCCGAGACCCGGCACCGCCTTATATACTGCCTATAATAAAATAACTTGCTCCTCCTAGTACTATCCCCCAACCAACGCACCACACAAAGCCGCCGCCATGTCGTCCGGCGACGATGAGCGCGCCTCCAGGCTCCACCACCGGGAACAGGACCGCGACCACTCCTCCTCGCGCCGCCGCCACGACAAGGACCGCGACCACTCCTCCTCCCGCCACCACAGGGACGGCGAGCGGGAGCGGGAGCGCGATCGCGATCGCGACCGCCATCACAGAGACAAGGAGCGGGATCGGGAGGAGCGCAAGGCGCTGGAGCGAGCGGAGAAGGAGCGCGAGAAGGAGAGGGAGAGGGAGAGGCAGCGTCGCGAGGAGCGCCACAGGGAGAAGAAATCGAGGAGGCGGGATGAGTTCGATGATGAGGAGAACGAAGACCGTGAACGCGATCGCAAGAGCCGCCGCCGGTCCTCGCACCACCACCACCGCGATCCGGAGCCGGAGGCAGCGCTGCCTACCAGGGACGGGGAGGAGGCGGAGAGGCAGCGGAAGAAGAAGAAGGAGGAAGACGTGGAGGCTGAGCAGCGGCGGCAGAAGAAGAAGATGGAGGAAGACGAGGCCGAGCAGCGGCGGCAGAAAAAGAAGATGGAGGAAGACGAGGCCGAGCAGATGCGGCAGAAGAAGAAGATGGAGGAAGACATTGAGGCCGAGCAGCAGCGGCTCGAGGACGAGATGGAGCGGCGCCGGCGCCGCGTTAGGGAGTGGCAGGAGAAGAAGCGCCGCGAGCAGCAAGAGGACGGTGCCGGTAGTGCTGTGGCTGATGGCGCCGGCAAGTCCGGTATGAAGTGGAGCTTGGACGGCGAGGAGTCGGATGACGATGGCGGCGCCGGGACAGGTGCCATGGACGTCGACTTGCCGAACGGAGGAACTAGCAGTGCTGGCATGGAGGAGGACGAGATTGACCCCCTCGATGCGTTCATGAACTCGATACAGATGCCGCCGGCGACAACATCGATGGAGAGCGTGATTGCTTACGGGGACTATCATGAAGGCGGCATGGTCTCCAACGATGCAGCACCAACGGGGAGAATCATGCAAGGGGATGAATCTGACTCAGATTACAACGACGACCCTGAGGGTGAATCAGATGGCGCGGAGGAGCTGATAAACCCTGTTATCAAGAAGACCAAGGCGGAGAAGCTGGTCACCGCCGACCACTCCAAGATCGACTACCAGCCATTCCGGAAGAACTTCTACACGGAGGCCAAGGACATCAAGGAGATGCCGGCCGAGGACGCCGCCGCCTACCGCGAGCAGCTGGACCTCAAGGTGCGCGGCAAAGGCATCCCCAAGCCGATAAAGACGTGGATCCAGAGCGGCCTGACCAGCAAGCTGCTCGGCACCATTAAAAAGCTTGGATTCGACAAGCCGATGGCGATCCAGGCGCAGGCACTGCCGGTGATAATGAGCGGACGCGACTGCATCGGCGTCGCCAAGACCGGGTCCGGCAAGACCCTGGCGTTCGTCCTGCCCATGCTGCGCCACGTCAAGGACCAGCCGCCCGCCGCGCCCGGGGACGGCCCCATCGGGCTCGTCATGGCGCCCACCAGAGAGCTTGTGGTGCAGATATACTCAGACATCAAGAAGTTCTCCAAGGCGTTCGGCGTCAACTGCGTCGCCGTGTACGGGGGCTGCGCCGTCGCCCAGCAGATCAGCGAGCTCAAGCGCGGCGCCGAGATCGTCGTGTGCACGCCGGGCAGGATGATAGACATCCTCTGCACCAGCGCTGGCAAGATCACCAACCTCCGGCGAGTGACCTACCTGGTGCTAGACGAGGCCGACAGGATGTTCGACATGGGCTTCGAGCCCCAGATCACCCGGATCGTCCAGAACACCCGGCCGGACCGGCAGACGGTGCTCTTCTCCGCCACCTTCCCGCGGCAGGTGGAGACGCTGGCGCGCAGGGTGCTGGCCAAGCCCGTGGAGATCCAGATGGGCGGGCGGAGCGTGGTGAACAGGGACATCACGCAGCTGGTCGAGGTGCGGCCGGACGGCGAGAGGTTCCTCAGGCTGCTGGAGCTGCTCGGGGAGTGGTCTGCCAAGGGCAAGATCCTCGTGTTCGTGCGCGCGCAGGACAAGTGCGATTCCCTGCTCAAGGAGCTGTTCCAGCACGGGTACCCCTGCCTCTCTCTCCACGGCGGAAAGGATCAGAACGACCGTGAGTCGACCCTCGCCGACTTCAAGAGCAACGTCTGCAGCCTGCTGATCGCCACCAGTATCGCCGCGAGAGGCTTGGATGTCAAAGATCTCGAGCTTGTTGTCAATTACGATGTCACCAATCACTACGAGGACTATGTTCATCGTGTTGGGCGGACCGGCCGGGCCGGCAGGAAGGGCTGCGCCGTGACGTTCATCTCCGACGAGGAGGAGCGCTACGCGCCGGACCTCGTCAAGGCTCTGGAGCTGTCCGGACAGGCCGTGCCGGAGGACCTGAAAGCCCTGGCGGACCGGTTCATGGCCAAGGTGAAGCAGGGGACGGAGAAGGCACATGGAACAGGCTACGGTGGAAGTGGTTACAAGTTCGATCACGAGGAGGACGAAGCACGACAGTCGGCAAGGAGGGCCCAGGGGAGGGCGCATGGGTACGAGGAGGACGAGCCGGAGCCGGATTTAGACCACTACGAGGAGGAGGAAGACGGAGGCGCCGCCGCTCTGGCCGCACCACCCACCATGGCTGCTCCTGCTAGCAATGCCGGCCAGCCAGCATTGCTCCCTCCACCGGCTGCGGCGACACAGCAGAACATCGCCGCTGCTGCAGTGAACGTGCAGAGCGTTCTGGCCAGGATACAGGCGCAGGCAGCTCCGGAGCACTACCAAGCCGAGCTCGAGATCAACGACTTCCCACAGCACGCGCGCTGGAAGGTCACCCGGAGGGAGACGCTGGCGCCCATCGAGGAGTGGACCGGCGCGGCGGTCACCACCAGGGGCACCTTCATCCCCCCCGGCCAGATCGTCGGCACCAACGAGCGCAAGCTCTACCTGTACATCGAGGGCCCCAACGAGTCCTCCGTCAGCAAGGCCAAGGCACAGCTGAAGAGTGTCGTTGAGGATTGCGCCAACCAGGCGCTCAATCTGCCCGCCGGAAAATACTCCGTCATCTGATCCTCATCTGCAGATGTTGAAATTCACTCCTGCTTGACAAAGGTATCACAGATTTAAAACAATACTGGATGCTTGTGTGTAGACGCGATATGCAAACATTACAAGTTCTATGTTGTTTTTTGTGTGTATACATTTTTTTTATTTACTAACTATGATTTGGGTACATTGCAGATCCCAATCCTGGACTTCCCAGACATGCCACTATTCTTTTTAATCTATATAAGCCATTATATACTTCTGGAAATTTACTAGTATGTGCAAATTTTGGTAATTTCTATGATTCTTTTAAGAAATTTTGGTGTTTTTTTGGACAGGAATAGAATGCTGCTGGTGGCGGCTGCCTTTCTGTTTTCTGGTGCAATTTTAAAGCTGTGCCCTTCGGAGTGATGATGGAAGGAAGCACAAGATTTGGATCTGTTTACGTTATTATTGTTCTGCACTTTTGGAAGCTATTAAAAAACTACACCCTATATTTTAGTTTGGATTATATTATGCAACACTTTTTGCCTTATGAATTGTGATTCAGTTCGTTCCATATATGTTAAAAAGTTCAGGCATGATGCCACCGGAATATGATGTTCTTGTTTTGATCTTCAGATGTGTGTTCAAGCCAAGGACCGTGTTTGCGAGGTGGTGGAGCTGCTGGTGGTCAAAGGAGCTGGATCCCATATTTTCATCGATACATAGAAAGATTGTCGTATAAATTTGCCGCGCCAGTTGATAGCATCAACAGATTTGCTAGAGCGATACTGGTCGCGGAATTCGTTTTTTTTTCTCGAATACGCAAAGCTTGCGTATCATTGCATTGATAAAAGAAGTAAGAATGATTACAGGAGTTGGTACAACACATGACACGGACGCAAGGGGCGCGAACATGGTGCCTGAAGCGGAGAGATGAAAGATGCACGACCCAAACAAAGAAGAACACGGCTAAACTCTCCGACCAGAGAAGCAATCCAATCTACAACTAGACGACCAAAAATCCGAAGCCCGCACCGAGGACGCCGCGAGAAACCAAGACAACGCCTTCAAGAAGGAGAATGACACCGAGACGCCGTCGTCGTCCGATCCAGAAGCCCGGACCTAGGATTTCCCCTGATGCTTGAAGAGGGGCACAGAACGGCCATGACAACGCCTCCAGGAAGGTGACGGCACCCGTGGGTGTCGCCGCTGCCAGCAAAAGATGCGGGGCTTTCGCCCTGGCCAATTCCAAGCAATCCCAAGCCGTCGGAACATGAGTCGAAGAGGAGGTCATCAGGTGTAGGCCGGTGCTGCGACTGCAGGAAGGGGAGCCACGCGCGGTGCCAAAGGAGGCATCGTACATCGCCGGGCGCGCGAACTCCGGAGGAGGACGAGGATGAGTGGCTGCCGGAATGAAGTGGGGATGGGGCGGTGACCATAGCCCCAGATAAGCCAGGATCTGGAAGGAACGCAGATCCGGGCCACCGGGACCGGATCTGCAGGGATGCCGGCGGGCCCAGGGAACTGGAAGGCGACGCAGCTCCCAGAGCATGCCGGTGACAAAGGTGCACCGGGATGGATGGCCAACCAAGACACCGCAGGGTGGTGATGGTGCGGATATGCCGAGGAGCCAAAGAGCCAAGAGAGCCGGAAAGAGCGCAGCTTTCGAGTCTCGTCGGGTCCGAAGCCGCGCCGGCCGGCAATGGACGCAGGAAGGGGACACAGGTCCATTGGCGCTGGGCCGAAGCCGCCCATGCGAGGGGAGGTGGGGTGAGGTGGAGGTGTTGAAGTGGATTCGCGCGCAGCCAAACCCGACCAGCATGGGCAGACACCGACAGGCACAACCGCAGCCAGCAGCCTCCATGGCCGGCCCCCTAGGAGGCGGACATGAAACACGCCGTGAGAGAGGGGTCGGAGGGGGAGGAGCCGCAGCTAGCAGGGCCCTGCCGAAGGCCGGCCGGCCAGGGGGAGGAGCCGCAGCTAGCAGGAGACGGCGTCCAGATCACGTCGGCGCGGACTAGAGCATCGCCACGGGGAACTACGGCCGGGGCAGTCCACCCGCGCCGCCAGCGTGCAGGTGAGGCCGGGGGAGGCCACCGACACCGTAGCCGACCCAGATCTGACGCCCGGGGGGGCTGGGGCGGGAGGAGGAAGGACAGCCCCGCCACCGCCATCCCAGGGCACAGCGCGGCTTCGCCGGCTGGCCCTCCGGCGGCGGCAACACGGGGGCGAGCAGAGGGCGGACGACGGGGTGCCGGCGGCTAGGTTTCCCCCGAGTCGCCCGTCTCGAGCGACGCGGGGGTCGGCATTCAGACGCGAGGAGATCCGCGGAATTTGTATTTGTTTTGGGCTACTCCCTCCGTTCACAAATTTAAGATGTTTTACATATTTTGTTACTCTTCATCGACAAACCCAGCGCACTCTCTGGGCTGAAGCTAAGGGACGACGGGCGTCTGTTGGGTGGTGCGCCACTGCTCTCTGGTACCCATCGACATTATGGTGTTGGCGGATACTATGGTGGACAGTGTGGCGCCGGCCGTCCGCCTCCATCCCCGCCCACTGGTGATGATGACCAAGCAAATGGACCGTCTGGCAAAAGGCAGGGGGGTTAAGCTCGCCGCGCTGGCGGCTACGATGGAGTCTTGGCGAGTACGGCCGAGTTATCGACAGCGGCGGCGCCGCCGACGGGCACGCGCGCTTGTTTTCAAACCGCGCTCGCGCCCGGTGGTTAGTTGGTCAGCAACAGTTGCGTGGCCGACGTCAAGGGCTCTTTGTGCGGGCCCGGGTGAGCAACCAATCGAGAGGGAAAGCCCGGCGAGCGCTAGTTGTGCCCATACGCAGGTGGCGTCCTGCGTGGCCCCGTCCACTGCAGTTGTTCCAGTTGTTCCTGTTGGCTCTCCGTCCGGCAAAAATCACTGTTTTGACATGTGGACAAAACAAAATAACAAAAAAAACTGTTGACAAAAAAAAATTCACTCGGCTAACCTTTTTGTGTAGCGTCCGATATCTAGGCGCCACACTACACTGTGCAACGCCTGGCTCTCACGCGCTACACGCCTGACAATCGTCGCACCTCAAGCTGACTGAAAAATGATAAGTCAGTGTGTAACGCCTAAGAGGTAGGCGCTACCACTACTAGGAAAAACCCTAGTAGTAGCGTGGGTTTGTGCCCACTAGTAGCGCGGGAGACCGTGCTACTAACAAGGTGCTACAGCTATTACTTAGTAGTAACGCGTGCTTACACGCGCTAATGCTACGACAAATAGCCGCAACGTGTGTTCCCTCCCGCGCTACTGCTAATCTAGCTAGTGGCAGCGTGTTTACTATCCATCGCTACTAGTATTCTTTTTTTATTTTTTTATTTTGAGTGTATTTATACGCTGTTATACAAATATTGGTACAATACATGTCCATTACAGTGTGTCAAATGAAGGTGGATTAGGTTCAAGTGGAGGCAATATGTGGTGCATGTCAAAAGTATACTACTAATCAAAACTTGATCTAGTTTGGACTAGTATGTCACATCCCTAGCCTTACCTTGCACTAGGCTCGCACTTGTCTGTTGCATCATGTTTAAATTCTTTTGAAACTTGAAATGGGGATTGCTCAAACCCTAGCACCAGATCAAATCAACTAGGTTTAAATAAAAATATTCTCAATGAACCCAAAATGCTCTTCAGAAAAGTTCATTATTTTTGGATTGGTCTAGAACCTCTCCCAAAAATGATGCATATTTTTCTAGGCCATTCTGGATTATTGAATTAAATCATATAGTATTTGCATTTGAGCATTTAAATGCTATAAAATATTTTAAATGCTCAAATAATCCCAAACTGAAATGTTTACTGTAGGATATATTTCCAACAGTGGTCATGAGTAGTTGCATGATTTTTGGGATTGATTTAGTATTTTTAATAAATCCATAAAATTGCAGAAAAGTAGAAAACAGTAATTAAAATAGGAAACGGAGAGAGAGAGAGAGTTACCTGGGCCAACTTACCTGGCGCTCCAGCCGGCCCAACACTGTGCAGCCCAGCCAGCGCAGCGCCTTTCTTCAACCTTCTGCCAGAAGGCGAGGCAGCTGCGTGGAGAGCGCACAGCCGAGCTGCGCCAGCTCCTGCTTGCCGCCTCCTTCTTCCCCTCGCGTCTGGCGACGCCACGCGACCCCCTCGCTCCTCTCCCTCACTCTCTGCTCTCTCCCTCGTCCTCTGCTCCCTCTCCCGAGCACACCCGAGCGGAGCCCGTCGCCACCGTCGCCGTTCACCACGGCCACCAACCCCTCCATGCCCAGCCAGCTAGCCCACGAGCTCCGCCTCTCTGCCGTGCACCTCTGCGATGAATCCCGTGAGCCCGGACGCCCTGAAGGGACGCCTCCATGCTCGCCACCACCGCATCTGCCGTCGGGCGTCGTCGACGGATTCGCCTCATCCAGAGCGTCCCCGAGGCCGCTGACCTACCCTGCCGCATCGTCATGAGCTCCTCTTCCCCCTCCCCCTAACCCCGTTGCTCCGCTCGACCTCAAGCTAACGCCGCCGCCATGGCCGAGCCTCGCCGCTGCCTGCCTTGTTGTGCGCCACCTTTGCAGCCGGCTTCTATCGTTGCCAAGAACGGCAACAAGCTCCTCATGCCTCCAGGAGGCCGTCTAGCCTTTTTTTCTAGCCCGCCCGTGCCCCGTAGCACCGCTGCCCGCATGTGCCCGAGCGCCGCCGCCGCCCACCTCGACGCCGGCGACGCTACAGCCCTCCCCTGCAGCTGCCACTTGCACCACCCGATGCGCCTCCATGTGGGCTTTCAAAAGAGCCTAGCCGCGCTTCGAACGGCCGCCGGAATCGGCCGGCCGGAGTACCTCCGCCGTCGGCTATGGTCGCCGGCGGCTAACCGCCGACGTAACCGGCCATTAGGGCCTAATCACCCCGCTAACAAACCCTCTAAGCCACTGACACATGGACCCCACTCCCTAAATAACTCCAGCTTTATTTCCTGTTTAGATTAGTGTTAATCTTGCGGACCCCACGCGTCAGTTTGACTTTGGCCAAGTC